CTCTGCTTTTGTCATCATGATCAAACATGTTCTCACTTGATCACCAGCATTGGGGATAGCAAGTTCAAGTATTCAAACACTAGACCAATTCTCCATTATTGACTTCCTCTTAGTAATGCTCAAACAGCTCTTCAAAATATGCACTGCCTTGGCCAAAATAGAATATGTAACTATGTAGCTATATTTGACATTTCCAAGTATTCTAGTAGATTAAAAGAATAACAGAATAACTGAGTTGGAAGGGACTTTGGAGGTCCTCTAGTCCAGACCTCTGCCCTAGCAAGAGACCCTATATCATTCTGAATAAATGGCTGTCCAATCTCTTTGTAAAAACTTTCAGTGTTGGAGCACCCACAACTTCTGAATTTACGAAGACAAGCTGTTCCACTGATTAATTGTTCTCACTGTCAGGAACTTTCTCCTTAATTCTAGNAAAAAAAAAATTTTGAAAAAAAAAAAAAAAAGTCACAGAGTGAGTTTAGCCTCAACTGAACCCAAAAAAATTAAAATCACAAGTTTAAGAACTTAAAGAATTTGAAATCAAATTCAAATAAAAAAGCTAAACAAGATTTTGATCTAAGAAAGTTATAAACAGATTAAGGTTCCAGATGAATTTGGAATAGTGATTTTACTATAAGATTTTGGAATTAATGATAAAAAACTTTTTCATAGTTTCTCATGGGAAACAACTTATTTTAGCTATTTTGGTTAATAAAAATAAGTGACTTTATAATTTTAGAAACTGGACTCTAGATGGTATTAAAGATTCTAAATAGAAGTGAAAAAATGCAAGCAAGCTTCCAGCTTCTGGTATTGGTTAATCGAGACGTGCAAAATGACACATAATGTCATAACTTTGGAAATATTAAATGAGGTCTTTGAAGAATTGGCCAGAAATTAGTAACCACAATATCAACATTATTCAGTAATGATGTATGATTCTATGGATTAGATTCTGTCCAAAATATGGACAGAATAAAGGAACGACAGAAGCGGAGTAATTTTGTCTATTAAGACAGAGAAAGTGCTGAAAGTGGTAGTACAAATGATAGGCTAAAATAATGATTTTAAGGACGCTTTATTGGATATACAAAAAAACCCTAAAGCTTAAAAGTTAAAGAAGAATGATATATCAATCAAATGACATGCAAAATTATTTTTATGGGATTTTGAAGAAGTCTGTGTGATGGGATAAAGAAAAATGGAAGAGAAATCAAATCCTATGACAACATTTGAATAAACTAAACATTAAGACTGTTATAAATAAAAGGAAGGGATATAAAGTTGGTTTATTGATCAAGATTAAAATAAGACATTTATTTGCAAAGTTCTGGCAACTCTTTATGAACTTTTTGCCGACACTAGGGTTGAAAACTTGGTGTTTTATAGATTTGCTTATAGATAAGGGGATGTAGGATGAAGAGATATCTATAACTTTTTGAAGATGAAAAGTAACTACATTTGTCTACACTTGTTTTAAAAAAGGTTGGAAATCACTTCTTTATATATTTCTTTTTTCTTTGTCATAGTCTTCCTTTTCTCTTTATTCTTACACTTTTTAATTCTTTCTTGATATTCTTTTTTCTTTCCTTAAGTTTAGATTATATTAGTTTTTACTATTGTAATCAAAAATCTTTAATGAAAAATTACATGTGGAAAAAATAACCTCTTTTAGCAGATTAGATCTTGGTAAAAAAATCCCACATATGGGACCTAACTGTTGTAATAAATACCTTACTTATTGCACAATAATAATGAACTGAGGAATGGGGATGGAGCCTGGTATACAGTATAAGCCAAAGGATCCCCTAAAAGAGCAGCAGTTTATCACTAGATTTCCTCAGGGTATTAATTATCAGCCAGTTTCAGAAATGCTGCTTTCTTCATTTTGTGGAAGAAAAATTCAGTGCTGCTGCTTGTTTTCTCAACTCTTGATGATACCATGCCAGAAAAACAGTCCAGGTTTCCAAGCTGATTTGCCTGCTTTGACATCCAAAGAACTGTAATGGAGAAGATGAGGTTACACCTTAGACCAGTGTTTCTCAACCTTGACAATTTTAAGGCATGTGGACTTCAACTCCCAGAATTCCACAGCCAGCATTGCTGGCTGTGGAATTCTGGGAGTTGAAGTCCACATGCCTTAAAATTGTCAAGGTTGAGAAACACTGCCTTCGACTCTCTGTTCCCTATGCACACTCAGAATAATTCTGACAAAGACTGTGAACAAATTGTAAAAGAGTAGGTTTTCTCATCATACAATCTGAGCCTATCTATACAGGCAGGTTCTTTCATCGATGGAGGCTCCTTCTCAAGTATTGCAGAAGTTGATGGATGGGGAGAATCTTATTCCCCCTCGTGATGTACATTGAAGATAAACCAGAAGATGACAGGTCAAGAGTCAAACTGGCTGTCCTTTAATCAGATTTCGTTCTCAGTAGCTAACCCTCCACATAGATCCACAGCTTTTGAGCCTTCATTTGTTCCACACTTTGTCCACTGGATCTTAATTAAGCAAAATGCCTAAGGGTTTGATATCATGTTCTAGGAATAACCCTTGTGTCTGTTTCTTTTCACTAGGAAAACACCATGATAAAAATTGCTGTGAAATACCAAAGAAGAAAACAACAAATTTGTCACAGTAGATAGCACAGATGTTTGTGGGATGAGCAACATAGTTCTCAGCTCCTTTATGAGAAAACCATCCTGTCTTTCCCTCCCTCCCTCCCTCTCTTCCCCCACCCTACCCTCCAGTGGGCAGCAAGTTTCAGAGTGAAGACAGATGAAAAGTCTGAATGAAATACCTCATTAATCCCTTAGTGAGAGCCTGTTTAAAAGAAGTCTTCCATTCAAAGAGTAGTCCTTGGGCTTGTCCTCAAGGATAAATCCTCAAGCTCCCAGGGGAAAAGAAACGAACAGGATTCAGATGTGAAGATATCCCTCTGCTTTTGTCATCATGATCAAACATGTTCTCACTTGATCACCAGCATTGGGGATAGCAAGTTCAAGTATTCAAACACTAGACCAATTCTCCATTATTGACTTCCTCTTAGTAATGCTCAAACAGCTCTTCAAAATATAATATAATATCTAACTATGTAGCTATATTTGACATTTCCAAGTATTCTAGTAGATTAAAAGAATAACAGAATAACTAAGTTGGAAGGGACTTTGGAGGTCCTCTAGTCCAGACCTCTGCCCTAGCAAGAGACCCTATATCATTCTGAATAAATGGCTGTCCAATCTCTTTGTAAAAACTTTCAGTGTTGGAGCACCCACAACTTCTGAATTTACGAAGACAAGCTGTTCCACTGATTAATTGTTCTCACTGTCAGGAACTTTCTCCTTAATTCTAGGTTTGATCTCTGTTTGATAAGTTTCCATCTGTTATTTCTTGTCTTGCCCTCAGATGGTTTGGACAATAGGTTGTCTACCTCTTCTCAAACATTGGAAGACTGCTATCATGTCACCCCTAGACCTTCTCTTCATTAGACTAGATGTACCAAGTTCCTGTAACCATTCATCATATTTTTCATCTCCCTAATCATATTTGTTGCTCTTCTCTGCACTCTTTCCAGAGTCTCAACATCTTTTTTGTATCGTGGTGGTGAGCAGAACTGGATGGAGTATTCCAAGTATGGTATTACCAAGGCAGTATATAGCAGTACTAATACTTTACGTGATCTTGATACTATTCCTCTGTTGATGCAGCCATTGGTTTTTTTTGGCAGCTACAACACATTGCTAGCTCATATTTAGATGGTTGTCCACTAGGACTCCTAAATCTCTCTCATAGTTACTACAGTTGAGCCAGATATTCTGCTTCTCTGTGTGTATGGATGTATGAATTGGCACTAAATGACTGGTTTTAACAAAGGCTATAGCTGTTAATAGTGGAGTAGACCTATGGGCATATTTCCTCAATTAAAAAAGGAAATAGATGTCCATAGTACTATCTAACCTACTCCCACATACTTGTTTTCCCAATTTGAATCACAGGACCAAGTTGTTACTAATCTTTATGGGAAAGAGGGTGAAGAGAATCCAAATATAGACAAGGTTTAAGTTCCTGTACTGGATTAATAGAACTCAGCATGGGGGAAAAAATGGAAAATCTCCTTATTGTGTCTTTTTGAGGCCTAGGTTTGCAATCCTATGAATAGATAGACGAGGTCCTTGGTACTCTCTGATCTTGGTTATTTTCTTGCAGACATTTCATTACCCAACTAGGTAGCATCATCAATGCTAGAGGGGAGTGGGGTTTGCCCTTCTAGCACTGATAATGTTAGTTGGGTAATGAAACATCTGCAAGAAAACATCCAAGGTCAGAGAGGACCAAGGACGCACAGTTCAACCCTGATCTATAAATATTTGTTTCTATTGATAGGCAGATGAGTTGCAATTTAAGTTTTAATAGGATTTATTCAATTCAGCTTTACAGGATTGTAGCTTAGGCATACCATCTTATAGTTTGGCCAGTTTAGAACATTGTATTCATAAAATCAAATCTAAAAATGCAACACTGAGAATAGGAAAGCAATCAAAAATCCTAAATAAGCAGGCAGAAAGGTAAACAAGCAGAAGATTCATTCCCTGCAGAAATCCAAATACTTCATGAGCATGTTATTTATGGCTAGCGATAGAGACAGACATTTGGTTTCCATTTAAACAGAACTGACCTATTCATATTTCCTGACATATTTCAGGAATCAGAATACAATTATCCTTCAACTTTCACATTCTCTGAATTTTCAGATGTATAAGAGGAAATGCAGGCAGAGACTCATCAGTAACAGCTGTATCTAGTGAATATTTGGTATAGAAACTTAATGATCTTTCATCTTAAATAGAGTGCCACAAAGCAGTAAATAGTCACACCAGTATTGCAACATGAGTTTAAAACTCATTTGACTTAACCACTTCCTGACCTAGAGCCCTTACTTCAAAATTTTCAAGGGGAAAAACCCATATGGTCTATTATAAATTTCTACTTTCTTTTCCAGCCTGTTCCTGCCATCCCTTGGGCTCACTGAACATAACGCTGAATCAAGCCCAGAAATGCCATCCAAAGACAGGCTTCTGCTACTGCAAGCCAGGTGTCACAGGACCCCACTGCGACAGGTGTCTGTTGGGGTATTGGGGCTTTGGAGAAAATGGCTGCCAACCCTGTGCCTGTGCTAGAGACTGTAACAAGCATACTGGAGAATGTCTCCACAGGTAAACCAGCTCTCGGTAGTGGAAACAGAGGGAATTTGGGAACTTAAGAGTGTTCTTGGGAAGGATCTCCAGGGCAATTCATTTTGGGTCTTTCCGCCCTGCTTGGCCCCCACCTGGAACTGACTCTTTCTGCTTCCTCCAGAAGATCCTGTCCTTGCTTCTGCTAGTACTTTCTCATGCTGGCAAGAGCCCCTAAAACATGTCAACTAATAAGCTATTTGTCACTTTAAATGTCTATGGAGATTCACAATCATCCAGGTCATGGTTGTCCCAAAGATACTTTTCCAAAAGGCAACTGGACTTTCTTGGTTTTTTTTGTCTTTGAAAACATTTTGCTTTTCATCCAAGAAGCTTCTTCATTTCTGAAATGAACTAAAGAAAGTCCAGTTGCCTTTTGGAAAGGACCTGTGGGATTGTCATTTTAAACACAATAAACCCTCAAGCTATCAAACATAGGCATTTCGACCGATCAGATATTGCCTAGAGGAGACCGTTAGGCAATCAGCTATGGGAGAGCCTTATCACTGCTCTAGTGCTTTCCTTGGCCAAGCACAAGAAGGCATTGGATTGGCTCCAGTGCCTGAATTAAAGAATACCATCACAGCTGTCTGTAGGATTAATTAGTGGAGCTTCGGGAGATCAATAACATTAGTATCTTTAGTTAAGATAAACCATTATATTTGATTCTTAGAATAGCCATCAGTGCCTAACATAAAGTATACATCAGGAAGAAAATTGTGGGTTTTTAAAAAAAAGTTTTCAAATTATTTTTAAAACAAATAAATAGAGGGTGAAGGAAATGAGATTCCATAACACTGGGGTTACCATGGAGAAGGTCCCGGTCCTAGTTTATTCCAGCTTTCTGGGCAGCGCCCTCGGAAGACCCCAATGGATCAGCAGAGCTTCCAGGCAGTTAGAAATGGATGAATTATTTTCCAGGAAGTATTCCACACATCTTTTTGTGTAGCAACTGCTAACAGTTGGTTAAATGTTCCATGTTTCATTGGCTCGTTGGTCCTACTTCTGTATTATTGAAATAGATTAAACAGATGGTTAAAGAAAACATTCTGTAATCTCATTCTGTTCTTGTCTGTCTGTTCTTCTCTTTCCAGTTATGACAATTCGGCTTTTTTAAATATTCCTATTGGTGGGAGGATCCCTCACTTCCTCCATACCCCAGCCAACGAAAGTGAAAATGAATGGCAGTGGAGTGATCACAAGCAGGGTTTTTCAGCCTTGAGATATCCAGGTATGATTTCAAACCCCACCCCCCATCCCATAAATAGACTGAGAAAAATTACAATGTTGATAAGGTATGAGAACATTTTGGATTAATTAGAAATATTTATGATATGATTTACAAAGCATTGACTAAAAATGATAAAAGTTCTAGGAACTTTGATGGCCACATATTCTATATTGAATACTGAAGGAGCTGCTGATACAGTTCTACAGAGGAATTTATTGAGTCTGTCATTTGTAACTCTATAACTGTCTGGTTTGGTACAACAACTAAACAGGACAGATACAAACTTCAACTGATAGCTAAGACTGCAGAAAAAAATAGTTGCAACCAGCCTCCTTTCCACTAAGGACCTGTATACTGCACGAACCTGCAAGAGGGCTAAGAAAATATTTACAGACCCCTCACATCCTGGACATAAACTATTTCAACTTCTCTCAGGATGCTACTGTAGGGCACTGCATGCTAAAACAACCAGACACAAAGACAGTTCCCCCCCCCCATGCCATCACTCTGCTAATCACATAATTCCCACAGCATTGTCTTATGCCTAAAGATATCTAACCCTGTAGTAGGACTGTAATACTATTATCCTTCTCATCTTTCCTAAAATCCTACTCCTATTTTATGGCTATCACTTTGTTTGAGGTATATTATGATCTGTGATTGTATTTTATGATTTATTACTTTGTTGCTTGTATGTACACTGAGAACTTATTCAAATTCCTTGTGTGTCCAATCACACTTGGCCAATGAAGAATATTCTATTCTATATTCTATATACTGCCTAACATCTTTTAAAACTGGTGGAATCCCAAAATCTCATGTTCCAAGTGAGCATGAACAGTTTCTGGGGCTGTTTGTGGTTCTTTTTTATGTGTGTTTTATATACCATATATATTATTTTAAATTACAAGCTGCCCAAAATTGTTTGGACTCAGGCAGCTTATTAATTGTATAAAAATATAAATAAAAAATAAAGTCATTTTGGGAAAGAAAGTAATTCTCCAAAATGAGGGGGGGCATTTGTAATCCTTTATTCTAAATTCTTTTAGCAGATTAAGTTAAACGGATTGGAGAAAGTGAATGCTTACGTTCAATTATTTTACACAACTTGAAACATTTACACAACATCTCAGCTCAGGAGCTTACACTTCCAGAGCTGTTTCTTAAGTATTAATTTATTGCAAGCAGTTATGAAAATCTGGGTGACTGGTTTCTCCCTTTCCCTTGTTTTGTTTTGAATGCAACCCATCTTCTTTGACACATTGGTTTATGATTTCCCGGCTAGAAAAGTGTGTGTGCAAAGAGAGGATCCTAGGAAGCGTCAGCAATTTTTGTCAAATGAAATACGCCTACGGTAAGTGAAAGAAATTACTTTTAAAAATTGAAACGTAGCATAATTTTCTCGTTGCTCCTTCCATCTTCCAAAAATCTGAACTCTGAGTAAGAATGCTTCTGCGTCAAAGAAACTTAGGTTCTAAGCTTCCTCTTAAATAAAAATTAGGCAATTAATGTCAAAGAGGCCATAGTAAGGCCTTTTAAGGATTTCCTTTTCCATGCTAAGGAGGGCATATAATTACGATTGGCCAAATGTGTGCATGGATCAGCCAAATGGCTGATCCATGCACACATTTGGCCAATCGTAATTATATGCCCTCCTTAGAGATGCAACTTTTTTTCTGTATTGGGATGCAAACCTTCTTTAGATGCCAGGCTCACTCGGTAGATCAAACAGGAAATCAACTCTGCAGGAAGGCTACTTTTATTGAAATTATAACAACACAATCTTGCAAGTCTGAATGTGCTGTACCTCCTCTTCCTATACTCCAGTCGGTTAGGAAGGCATCTGCCTGACCTGTTTCCCATGTTATCTTGTTTCTCAGGGCTTAAAAAAAAATATCCTTCAGCTCCTTTTGCCTCAGCAACAGTTCTTGTTTATTCTGCAAAGGCCATCTTTCTTACTTTGTACATAGGGTCATGGATGGGTGTGCTCCAATTTATCTTTGGGCCAGCAATGTCTGCAGGATGGGTCAAAGCAGTTAAGATGGCTGATGTGGCATAGCAATGCAAGACCAATCCTTTTCTGTACAGGTGTTTTTGTTAATCTGCACATCGACACTTAAATTTAGAGTTTGCAGGAATTCTTTGGATAGCAGAGAAGGAGAACTTGAGAGAGATGCCTAGACTTTAAGCTTAAAACAAGTTTATTAAGAAATTGCCCAAAATATTTACAATGTCAGGAAAACACAACCTCAGTCAGCCAGGTGAGCTCTAATGGTGGGGGAAGATTTACGTTTCGGAATTCAATTCACAATTCACAAGGTAGCTGGAGCAAATTGTATAGCCCTTTCCCCCACTCTCCCATCCTTCGGAATCCTCATCTCGGTTCTAGGATAATTAGCCAGGGAAAATCAATGTTTGTATTTATAGTCATTGCAAGGGAAGAGATTACAAGAGAGTAAGCAAGAACATGCCTTGGCGCTGGAAGCTTACCATGCTCCTGGCCCGGCTGCTTAGGATATAAAGCAAGCCTTTGGGACCAAAATGATTAGGATCATGCCAATTTCAGATAGCAATGCAAGCTGGAAAATCTAATTAGCTAATCAAGGTTGCAACTGAGCTAGCTTGCAGTTAGCACCTTTCAGGGAAGCACAGTCTGTGCACAAAGAAAAACAGTTTAGGAAGAGATAGTGTGTCCAAGCAATTACTTCTGTCTACAAAGAACGAAACTCTGGCGAGAGGGGAAAGGGAGAAGAAAGGACAAAAAATATAAGGCAATCATATAGGACAACATATATGTGTAACATTGACTCTCATAGAAAAAGGGTGCGGCTTGAATCATGATGTCATATTTGCCACCTTGCCTATTTCAACTTCCCCATCCCAGTATTTTATATCATGCATTATAAAAATACTATACTTTTTATCTGTCTTATAATATCTAGATATAAAATCCTTTTTAATCAGTTATATAATAATAATAATAATAATAATAATAATAATAATAATAATAATAATAATAATAATAATAATAATAATAATAATAATAATAATAATAATAATAATAAAGTTGGAAGGGACCTCGGAGGTCATCTAGTCCAACCTCCTGCTCAGGCAGGAAACCCTATACCATTTCGGACAAATGGCTGTCCAGTCTCTTCTTAAAAACTTCCAGTGTTGGCGCATTCACCGCTTCTGGAGGCAGGTTGTTCCACTGGTTAATTGTTCTAACTGTCAGGAAGTTTCTCCTTAGTTCTAGGTTGCTTCTCTCTTTGGTTAGTTTCCAATAAAAGTTACATCAACCTATTTTAACATTTCATATATTATAAAACATATTATATTACTTAAATCTCTTATCCTTCTTGTTATAAGGCCCCTCTGTGTTCAAAATTCTTTGTTCTTTTAGCCATATTCAAACAAATGTTTATTCACGTAATAGTCCATCTGGTAGGGCGAGTCAAATCTCTTGTATCTGTCTCTGGTCTTCTACTTTTGCCGAGTAATTTTCCAAGTTGATGTAATCCGCTTACCCAGCAGTTCCTGTATTTTTACAAATGTTGGGAATACAAAAGATGAAGTAAGATAAATACTTTCTGTCTCCCAAACTTTTATTGTTCTCCAGATAATTCCATTTTTCTTGTTGTATCAGAACCTTGAAGATTTTTCCCTGTTTGTGTCAAATTGTAAATCTTTTCCTTTGTTGTTTCATCAATTTGATCATACTCTTCTAATTTGTAGTCTGCTGTCTGATTTATTTGTGCCTTTGTCCTGGGTATTTTTTAATTGTAAATTTAGATTGGAAATATGCTTATTTAAATCATCAAAGTTGTTTCGGATTTCCTCGTGGTTTGAGTCTATTGTCATTTGTATTTGTCCTAACATATATTTCCTCCTGGAAAGTATTTATCTTGCCTTGAAGTATTGCTTCTGGAGGCCCTTGATTTTCCAGGCTACGTCCTTCAGGAGAAAATATTGAATGTGGCATCCTGTCAATTATTTTATATGTATGTGATATCCATGTTGTCTCCCCCTTCAAATAATCTTTCATTAATGTTTTAATTCAAAAGTCAATTTATCAGTCAGTCAAAATTACAGTTCAGTATGTTAAGTTACTTTAAATCCTTCCTACAGATTCTCCTCTAAAAGATTAGCCAAAAAGCCAATGTTTTTCTTTTCCATAAACAGTTCTTAGATTTAAGCAACAGTCCAGGTGTTTGTTTGTTTGTTTTTTCAAACACTTTTTAATCTTATAGCTGGCTCTTCCTTTGTTCCCAGCTGTCTTCAAGGTTATTTGCAGTTCAAAGGAACAACTTTTTCTTTGTTTCTAGGCACTCTGCCAATTTCTGAGCCTTTATTGTTAGTGTTCTATTCTCTGAGTCTCAACTAGATGTCAGCAGTTATTTCTTTTTTCAGTTTTTCTTTCAATCAAAAATTATTTTATATTTTATAAATATAATTATAATTATATTTTTATAATTCCATCAAAAAAAATTAGGGTATAATCTTGACAGTTTTTTAGTTCCTAAGTTTGTCCAGACTGAAGTATTTTAAATCAAATTTTAATATATTTCTTCCCTCCTTTAATATTAATTCGCTGTTTCCATCTGTAAGGGAATGGGGATATAGTCCCCTCCCTTCATTTCTGGAAGTTTCCTTGCTTTGGGGATCTTTTCAAGGATTTAGATAGTAGATAGAAGAAAGAAGATCAATACTCTCACCAATTCCAAGCACGGTGTTCACCGATGTTTAGGTTCGTGCTCTGGGACTTCGGCTGCAAGCAGCTTGGGCTAGACACTGATCTCACGCTAGCCTTTCTCCTGTCAGATTCGGAGGGCTTTCCCCAGATCAAACGAAGCGATTGCCGTCGCTTCATGATCAATGGGGAGCCCCTCCTTCACGGTCACCTCTCCGGGACAACTTCGGACCCATCTAGGGTCCCCCAAGCAGGAAGAAACTAACCGTGGGGAGCGGTGGTCTGCTCTCACGCAGCCATGCACCCCATTCCATTGATACTGACTTGTGCCCGACCTGTTGGTTGCAGCTATTAATGTCTTGTCATCCTTGAAATGGGTAGGGCTGAAGCTTTTGGCTCCGACTTATATTTTAAGGAGATGGGAGGAGTTTATAAGGAATGAAATAATTGGCTTGAACTTTGTGGATGCTGAAGATAGCTTTAGCGCCTTTAAACCCACCAAAAAAGGGGAAATCGGCTTGATTCTGAAATTTCTGAGCTTTTAAGGATGAAATGGGTACTCAACCTTCTAATTCCTCAAAAAGCCATTGTAAAAAGGCTCAAAAGTTCAGATCTGCCTGTACCAAGTGGCATCTTGGTAGCCACAAATGGAGGTTTTCTGCCCCTGGTTTATGTGATTCCTAAGCCATCATGCACCCTACAGCTTCTATACTGTAGCTTCAGAAACAGAGCCATCTCATTTAATTTATATTGTTCTCATTTTAAGGGAATCAATCCTGATAGTACATAAATGATAGGAGGAGATAACACCCATCACCAATTATACATATTGATACTAGTATGAAAAGGCGGTTGGGTGAAGGCAGATTTTTAAAAAATTAAGATTGCAGTGTGATGGAAAATATAAACTTTCTTCCCTTGCATTACACTTCTGGTTCTGTTCTGATGTTCCTTTGGCAGTTGCTGTAATGCAATTTATATTTCACTTATAACCTAATTGAGCTTTAAAAAAAAGCTGAGAAACTGTATAGTTTTTCCTAGGGAACTCAGGGGAAAAGGCAGGACCTTTTGGTTAAATCTGTTAAATCTGTCTTGCAGTTTTAAGAGCAAAAGTTCTATCTGCTCATGACAAAGGAACCCATGCTGAAGTAATAGTGAAGATAAAGAAGGTTCTGAAATCAGGCAAAGTAAAAATCACCAGGAATAACCGAAGCATATATCCAGATTCCTGGACCAACCGGGGGTGTACATGTCCTATTCTTAATCCTGGTAAGTATTCAGCCCCACTTTTCTAGCAAGCTGAGGATCATTGTCACATCTTTAACACACAATGATGAAACTTGTGCTTTTTCTCACTCATATGCACAGGACAGATCCCTTAGTTCAGTGCTGGAGCATAGCATTATCATGTAGTACAGGGGTGTCAAACTGCCGGCCCACAGGCCGGACGCGTCACGAAGAAACCGCGCCCATCCCATTGCCGGCAATGGGGAAAAAGTTCCGATACGTCGCGTGACGTCACGTGACATTGCGAGTTTGACATGTCTGATGTAGTAGGATCCATCTCTACCTGTAATGATTTTATTTTTTGTATAACCATATTTTATTAATTTTTTATAATCACAAATCCTTAATATTTTATCAGCAACATGTTGTCTGGGTTCCAATACTTAGCTTACTAATACATGTTAAACTCCTTTCTCTCTACCTCGTTTTTCTAGCCATTGATAAAATGGATCCCATGTTCTAAAATATTCTGAATCTTCTTTCTCCTTCATTTTCAATGTAAGTCTGTCCATTTCTGCACAGTCCAAAATTTTCCTGATTATCTCTTCCTCCGCTGGTAATTCTTCATCTTTCCAATGTTGAGCAAATAGAATTCTCACTGCTGTTAATATGATTAAAAAGCTCAATTTGAAGAAAGAATTTTTTTTCTCAGAGAATTGCTGTCAGCACAAGATTCATGGGTTCACACATGCTCAATCAGATTTGTTTAACAACAGTTTGCTGAAGTCAGGATTCGTGCAATATGCAATAGTGAAACAAACCATGATGGCTACAATCATAGAACTTAGAAAACATAGAATAACAGTTGGAAGGTACCTTGGAGGTCATCTAGTCCAACCCCTGCTCAAGCAGGAGACCCTATACCATTTCAGACAAATGGTTGTCCAGTCTATTCTTGAAAGATTCCAATTATGGGGCACCCACAACTTCTGAAGGCAAGCTATTCCACTGGTTGATTGTTTTCACTGTTAGAAAATGTCTCCTTAATTCTAGTTTGCTTCTATCTTGATTAGTTTCCATCCTTTGTTTCTTGTCTTGCCTTCTGTGCTTTGGAAAATAGTTTTGACCCTCATCTTTGCGACAGCCCCTCAAATTTTGGAACACTGCTATCATGTCTCCCCTACTCCTTCTTTTTACTAGAGTGGACATACTTAGAACTTGCTAAGCCCAAGTCAACAGATCACATTATTTCTGCTAATCTGTATGGCAACTTCTACACTCTCCATTTGGGGTCTGTATTTATTTATATCCATGGGGCTGAGTGGGTACAAGGGTTACAGATGGCATGGCTGTGAGGCAGAGGTGTCCTCAATGGGTGGGTTTGCATATTTTCCATTTTATGTATTTTTCATGAAAGTACATTAAGCACAATGGAGACATAGCACATATATTTATTTACTATTACTTTAATTACAAAAGTGCAGGTCTGACTCCTGAATTCCACTGATATGTCAATGAATTTCAGTGGCCTCATCATTGATCTTTGAGGGCTCGGTGTTTGCAAAACAAGAATGGCTCTTTGTGCTTGGTGTAGCACATTGTGTGAACTTATCTGCTGCAGTTTTTCAACTACAGTTCATGCTTTGCTATATTGTATGCACTACAACAATCATGGTATATTCAGTAAACTATAGGTAATCCAAACATGGATTAGCACAATGTGTCAACTAACCCACTGTGAGCCAGCATAAGACTGGATATACGATCAGCATAACACTGGATGTTGATGGGATATCTTGTGATACAGGAGCAAAGTTAGGGATTATTGTCTACATTCTGAAACATTCTTCACAGCCTGGTGCCTTTGGATAAGTTGTATTTTAATACCTGCAGTCTGACTACACTGACTAGAGATTATGAGAGTTAAATCCAGTCGTTCTGAAGGGCACCAGTTATAAGAGTGCCTTAGAGAACTTGCCAGACATGCGCATGGACTGATATGCAGATTCTGCTGTCTTCTCATTCTTGAATTCTTCACAGCATAGGCCAAATTAAGTCTCCAGCATCTTGTTTCACATTTCTCTCCAGATGTTTATTGGTCTTTTTTTTATTTACCTTTTTTTTAGAGAACCAGTAACTATTGCTTTTTCACAATTCAGTTGGCAACAATTTAGCACACCAATTTGAATTGCAAAGCAAATTAATTCATTTGCATTCACTGTTGAGCCCCGCGGGGCCGACTTACACGGGCTGACGGGGACCCCTCTGCCACGCTGCCGCCGCCACGCAGGCCCTCGCCATGACTCTTTCTCAGAATCAAGGAGGACGTTTTGACATTCACGTTTTAAAATGTTTTCTCCAACCTAAAACTACATGCTTCATAGGATGTTACAAGCACGCTTGAAAATAAAGTATTGAGTTTGACTCTTGAGCATTTCATGGACATGCCTGAGTATCATCTTGGCAATACCATGAAATCAATTTGCTATTGCTGTTTCTTCCAGGATTTTAAATTTTCCAGTCTAGGTTAAGTACAAAATTTCCTTGCTCTGCAAAGAAACTCATTAACCTTGTAATTAAGTAATTTGCATTTTAAGTCATCTTGAACACCGTGTTTAGGTGGAAAGGGAGAAGAAAAATTAATGAATGATCTTAATTAAGATTATCCCTGTAAAGTCTTCTGGAAAATCTTTGATTCTGTACCTTAATTAATATTGAGAAATGATTCTTACCATATGTAATCCTTTTTCAAACCAGGTGTAGACTACTTAATAGCAGGACAAGAAGATGCACAGACGAACAGACTCCTTGTGAACATGAACAGTCTGGTGAAGCCCTGGAAAGCTCACTGGGGGAAGTTTGTTGCCGATATACTACGAACTGGATGCAAATAATGTATTTTTTTTTTCAAGTCAAGTCACAAATTTGTACAGTTTCATAATATGGCAGTGAAAAGCTTAGTTCTCTAACGGCTAATCATAACTTTTATAATTAAGGAGAATTTAAAAACGAACTCTCTTTCATTAAGTGCTTTAGGCAGAAATCTTGTTCCAGGACTTCTTTTGCCCAAGACAACAATCCCCTCTCTTTTACACATTTGTTAAAAAAAATGTAAAGACTGCTGAATTAACCACATGTACTTAGGCTCACAGCCTGGCATATAGCTTGCTTTATGATTACAGTATCTAGAGCTTTCAAACCCACCAATACATATACTTGTAACCGAGGCCAATATTGTATTAAGCTATTGATGAACAATCAGTACTAACAGAAAACCAGAACTCCTGCACTATTTATTTTTCTGGAGCTGGATTTTTTTTTACAGTAACTATGAAGGAAGAGGAAAAATTTGCTAAGTTACAGGGCTACAAAACATCATTGGTTGGCCTATCAGATGAGTCTTGCTTTTTTTTGAGAGGCCTGTTTTAAAAGCTGTTATTTTAAGGTACCCTTCATAGCTTTCAGGTTCTTCGATGTCTTATGTGTTCTATTGAAATTTGCACTGGAATTGAAAAGATATTGTAGATGTAAAGTGTCTTTGTGTCTACTTCATCAGAGAAGCAAACAGCAAAGTTTTTGGGAATTTGAAAGGCAGCCTGAAAGGACTTGGAACTGCAGGATTCTGGGAAGTGGAGGTCCCAGTTCCTGCTGTAGGTGTCCCCCTAAACTTCCTGATAAAATTCATGGGAAAAGAAGATGACTGGCAATCCTCACATTAGAATAAAAATAGCTGACTATGCAAAACTTGATTACCACCAGATTCCAAAGATTTGTTTTCTATAGTGTAGTTCCCACAATGCAAGAGTCCAGAGAGTTCTGGTTTTCAAGCCTGGTCATTTTCACCAGGTTTCCAACCTGGTCTCACCAACAGTCTTCTCCTGTTTTGTCCTGCATTTAGCATCCATTGCATCAAAACAAATTCAGAAAGACCACTGCTATGGAGGACTTTAGGAGCCTACCAAGTTCTCTTAGGAAAACGAATGAGGCAAGAACTCAAGAGTTTTGTACATCAGCAGAAGTATTGGAATTTGCTTTGGGGTTAGCAGATTTGCGACTGGATTGAATATAAGACATACCAAATTGTTGATTTAAAGACTAGCTGCTTCTTCAAACCAGACACATGGTCCTTTTTTTGTTTTCTAAGTTAATATTTGATGTTCAATTTCCGTTGTGCTCATTTCATCTAGAATGCTCCATATCACCACTTTGTAGCTTCAGTCACTTGCCTTCTTCATACTACATGCGTATTGAAGACATGTCAAAGAACAGATGTTTCTATTCATATTTATTATTTACTATTAGCCAAGATTCTTCTAAGAAGCAGTGCTCCAAGGCAGATACAGATGAACACCACTAACATTGCTGTCCTTTGCTCAAACAGAGACTAGTCAGAAAAGTACAGTCTGTGCTGCAGAAGAATGAGAGTGACTCCCTAGCAATAATGTGTACTTCATGAATGTCATATAGTATGCAAAACATAGTTGTGGTTTGAGACATTAGATACCAATGCTGAGTAAAGAAGTCTTCTATCCTAAGACAGCCATTAAACCCAGACATTTCCATATAACTTGTGCTGGCGTATGATTGATGTACATTGTTTATACCATTTCTTGTTCCTTTTGAAAGGCACTAAAGTGTTTGCACTAAAAAAAATAATCTCTCCTAAAATATGGGCAATAAATTAAGATAAAGTCTAATTTTGAATATATAGTTAATGTCTTTTACTTAAGCTTTGCCCAAGGCATTATAAATCTTACTGCCCTTTTAATATAGAATCTGTTATGCATGTCAATTAATTTATGGACACTGGGCTTTTATTTAGTTCATCACAGTTTCAGTTAAAATGCTAAAATCATTTTGGACACATTGTATAAACTATATGTTTATATTATACTGTCTGCATTTTTTTCATATTTTGCCTGATGAGTGTTCTATCAGATAAAGAGGTAGATGGTCTATTGCTAAACCTCAGGGATTTCATTTATATAAAACATTTGGTTAGGAGCTCTGCTTTTATAGCTGCTTGCAAGTGAAAGGGCAATTCAAATATCCAAAATTTAAATGAAGAGGCAAGGGGGAAAATGGTAGAATAGGATATGAAGAAAAGTAACAGCAACAGAAGTGGGAACCCAGAGAATGGCGTTCGCTCCATTTTTCACCAGCATATTTTGTATATTTTGTACATTTTCAAATAATTGAAAGTGTGGATTGGAACTAGGGAGTCCCAGGTTCAAACTCCCACCTACCCAGAGAACTCACTGAGTGACCTTAAATTCCTCTTAGAAAAACAGAATTCTTGCAAGGCTAAAACTGGGGGAGATCCTCATGCACACTAATATGAATGTCAAAAAAAACCAGAATATGCAATTAGGTACAGGAAATGGAAACAAAAGCATGGCTAGACTAAGCATATGATCTTGAGATATCTGAATGCGATATACCTTGACTATAAGCAGCACTGATGTTAACTTTGTATGAAAGCAAGTGTTCAGCTAAAAATGATGGCATTGGTTGAACTTTGGCCCTATTACTTGCAATAGGCATGTATGGCTTATTGGCTGCAGTGATTTCAACTGAACACACCTTAAGGAAGTTTAGTCTGCTACAATATTCAAATGCACACCTAGCAACAATGCCCTTTAGACACTAGGGGTGGCTCTCTGAGAATCCTATGGTGAACAGACATATCTTAAGAGTGTTGTTGTAATGGCTGACAGCATTATGCAAAAGCAGTTTCCAATAGCATTCTTGCCAGAGATGTCTTATTAACCAGATGCTACAAAATTGGTTATATAATAAATCTTTAAACACAGGGGGGAGGCACCAGTTTCTGATAGACAGCCCCCGATTGTCCTTTTGACCTGACCTGGTTAAGTCCTATTCACAAATGCACTCCATCCGATTCCTCAGGATTTGTTCTTAGGGGTTTCCTTTGACGTCTGTTTCACTGACACTGTATGCAGGCTGAAGAGGGGGGTTTTTTTGGACACTTTTTCTGAAAGGGTCAAACTGGTGCTTATATTGTACTCCAGTAAATGAAAAATGTATGGCAAATAACAGCTTCCTTGGAACCTTTGAGGCAAGCGAGGAAATACTTCATATTCAAACTAAGAATGGATTTATGTCTGTTTTCCTAATTTGTTATAGAGTTTATTTTTCCCGTCTTGTTTTTTTGTGATTTTTCAAAATGTAAACGTCGCATATGTCACATTAACACGAGTTAATCAAAGTCAGCAGATGGATGGGGTGTATAGTACTGTGTGCTTCTGTCCAAAGATTATTTGGTTCAGTAGAGGCATCCATGAGAAGAGAGAACAAATTTGATTCTACAAAACCTTTTTTTTTTTTTTTTTACAAAACTCTGTTGACCCTACATTTATTCCATGTCCCTTAGGTTCAAGTTCCCACATTTTGGCAGATGCAGGGCATCAGACCAAAGAAAATAAGTGAAATCACCTCTTTTCTTTCCATCGACATCCATATATATTTGAACAAGCCCTTGCTTGAATGAAAGGATTTAATCTCAAAGATTGACATGTTTATTACACTCCTGCAATATTTTGTAGCAGAAAATCTACTTTAAATATGATTTGATCAACATGGCTACCGGTATATAGGACATTTACATTGAAAACTTTAGGGTTAAGCTAAATTATTGGATAGGTTGGCTTAATACAAAGAACATCTATCCATTGATGATTCCAGAGCCACTTTGTCCCAGAATTCAGATCACAGAATACCAGAATTTTCCTCAGATGAGAAGGCTCCAGGTAGTCCTCATTTAAAGATCCTAACTGAGAAAGGACTTTTCACTGCTAAGCAAAATAGTTGTTAGGTGGAATATCACATAACCATGCTTAACAATGGCAATTCCGGTAGTCCCAATTGCAGTCCTTAGACAAGACCACACACTTCTACTCTGTGCAAACTGTCAGCTCCAGCAGAAGCCTGAGGTTCTTGCCTAACAACAGCAACTGGGATTACCAGAGCAGGGCCTGATCAGCTGCCTTTGGCAGATGAGGCCCTGCCACGGCTGCACTTGCCTCTGGTTCAACTCCCTCCATCTGTCTATCTCCCTTTCTCCATCTCTGCCCTTTTGGAGGCCCTGTAACTTGGTGTCACTGCCTACCCCTGTTGCCCCAACTGATCTTTGCCATTCTTTTCCTCCTGCTGGCCCGGGATCCATGTGCTGGGTGAAGGCGCAGATCTGGGATGCGCATAGCAGACCCTCACCTGCTGAAGAGAACATGCTGGACATGGATAGGGAGGAAGCAGCAGGATAGAGCTGGGGACAGAGACCATAAGAGGTGGGGGAGCAGTGCAGGTGGCTTGCTCAGCACTGACAATTGTCACTTTCTCCTGGGAAGACAACAAACGCCATCGGGGGGTGGAGGGCAGGGGTAGACAGTAAGGTACAGGGTGGCCAAAAGGGCAAGGATAGGGGAAGAGAAGTAGAGATAAGCGGGCGGGGGGAGCTAAACTGCCTATTGTGGTCATAAATGTGGGCCAGTTGCCAAGTGTCCACATTTTGATCATGTGACCATGGGTGGTGCTATGGTCTCAACTTTAAGGACTGGTCGTAACTATAAATGGTCACTGAATGAATGGTCATTAAGTGAGGATTGCCCATTTGAACAAATCAATGTAGCCTGTCACAGGGCACAGTCATTCGCAGTAACAAAAGACACGGGCTTCAATGTAAAGTAAAAGGAATTCACTTTTAATATACAGTCAAATCACAATATTTATGCAGAGGTTTGTTACCCCAGGTAACATTGCATTTGTCTCATTATGGTCAGCAACCTGCTGGGAGAGGGCTTTGAACACAGGAAACCCTTCAAAACAGGGATTATTAGAAATATTAAGGAACACAGTGGCCAAAGTTTTTCTGTTTGCTCAGTTATGGCAAGGCCTGATCGAGGTTTATTTTAAAACGGGAAATCAATATGCTAACATTAATTTTCTATTATTAGAAATTAATTATAGATGCAAACTTCCTGTGCCATCAAGCATGTAAGGCTGACTAGCTGAAAATTTTACCCAGATTTCTGAATCTTTTTGGTTGTTCTGAGAAATCTGTATTTTCATCATATAAAATCTTGACAATAGCTAACAACTGAAATTTGGTGATTCAATATTCTTGCTTTCCCCAAAGAGGATTAACCACCCTCTGTTCTTCAAGCCAACCTACAGACTGAACATAACTGGAGAAGAAAAGTGATAAAAGTACTGGTGGTGTCTACATTTCTTCTATACTGACCCTACCGCAACATTTCGTTGTTAAAACCATAGGGCTGAAGTTTCTTCTTCACAGTAAGTGAGTTTACATGATAACAGTGTACGGAAGTGCATTCCTTGCGGGATCAATGGGGTGGAAAGAAAGAAAGGAGAGAAGATACTTTGCCTGTCTAAATGTCTCTGAATATGGAAAGGAGACCACAGCCTCCATGCTCATTCATTAGCTAGACCCATCCTTTTCTTTGCCCGCCGAAGGAGTAGTTTCTAAATCTTTGCTTTGATTATCTTCTTCATCTTCTTCATCATCATCATCATCTTCCTGAGGATAAAGATCCGGGTATTTCTGCATACATTCTTGCATTGCACGAAACTGGTCCACACAATCTGACCCTTTAATTTCTTCCTTGCTATAATGAAAACAGGAAAATGCTGACTTGAATTGTTCCCCGCAAGGACCACTAGCCATTCCACCAAGGCACGGGCAATTCCAGTTGATATCTCCATTAGGCAATATCAAACCTAAGAGGAGAGGAAGAAAAGGTAGCAACTTACAAAACTATTTTATCTTGGGACTTATATACTGAGTGGATTCACGCACAGCACAACATAGATTTCTTTAACTATATTCAGAGTCTAACTTTATTCAACACAGTTAAGCCAAGCCAAGCCAAAAATTAATTACGGTGGTTGAGTTGAAATGTTTATTAACTTCAGTTTTTATAAGCTGCTACAATCTGCAGACATGTTTATCATACCCTGAACCAGACAAATTACATTTTACTGAGCATTATCAGTGATCCAAGTCATTAAGCTTCATAGTCTGTAGGAACCTGTGATAAATTCTATATTTTGAAGTGACATCAACATATTTGGTGATGAACATATTTTTGATCTTTCTAAAAAAAAACCTTAGTGGTGACATAGGAAAACAAAAGATAAGAGCAACATTGTTTTTCAGTTTATGGCAAAAAAGAAAAGAAAAAGCCAAATTTAGGATGGAGAAAAGCCAATGGGAAAGAGTTTTGTTCAAGGCAGCAAGAATAGTGTTTTGTTTTACAAATGAGAACTTATAGAAAATGTTGTCTGATTGTTTGGGTCTTTTGTAAGCACTCCAAACATGAATGTGAGCAGTTTTCAGAAGTCAACTTTCCTTTATCTCACTAAAATCATAAATATCTGCAGATACAGGTCACTAAATTCTGCTGTTGCCCATCTGACATGAACTTGAATGGAACTGGACATTAATGGTTTTAGATCTTGATACATGAAAACTAAAAGGAAGATCATCTGAGTGTCAAAAAGAGAGGAAAAAAAAGATAATTTGGACTTCTTAGATCGTTTTATTAATATCAAAATTTCCTATCCTATTGTGTACTGATCCTAAAGGAGAAAAGAAATGGATGATATTGTGTTTAATTCATAAAAATGTTTGCACATATCATTTGTACATAACTTTTTATGCACATCTGTTTCCTGTGCTGATTTGGATATAACATAAAAACAATAGTTCTGCATCTTAACTCAGACCTTTTACTGCCACATACCCTTTGGCAATCTGTATGCTGCAAAGGAGATATTAGCTTTTTTCAATTATCCATTTTGTTATATCTGTCATGTAAAAACATTGTTACATAAAAAAATCCATTTGATTGTTTATTTGAACCAGGAATTGGTTAATAATATATCTATGTAGATTCTCAATTATCCAGGTCACGGTTGTCCCAAAGGTGCTTTCCCCCCACCCTTAAAACATTCTGATTTTCATTCAAGAAGCTTATTTAGTTCTAACTCACTGGAGGGGAATGAAAGGATTTAATGGGTGTCCCAAGAAGATTCCACATCATTTGCATTTTGATTCAGTTGACTCTTGGGATACAGATAAACCCCTAAAAGTGGCTCAATGACCCTCAGAGAGCTAATGACCCTCAGAGCACTAACAACTAAATGACTGCAAAGAATATAAATCCTTCCATTTCCCTCCAGTCAGTTAGAATTGAAGAAGCTTCTTGGATGAGAAGCAAAATATTCTTTTCAAAGAAAATAAAGTCCGGTTGCCTTTTGGAAAAGCACCTTTGGGAGATTAATAATATATATAATATACAAGCTAGCACTGTAAACCATAATGTGAAATTGGCTTATTTTCAAAATAATAATACATGATGTCATGCATCATCATCATTATTATGCTCAGGTACAGACATAAGGACAGCAATGGCAGTGCCAAAAAAGGGAAGGGGAATATGAACACACACGAAGCTCATTCAGAAAACACAACTCTCCAGTTTAGCATTAGGGGGGGAGGTGTAGTCCCTTATCTTGGTTTAATGGCAAAATAGAAAAAAAAAAACCCTGGTTGGTTATGTCATAGAAACTGTAAGCTGGAGAAGAGTTGGTTCATTTTTTTTCCAGGTTGCTGATGTATCACAGACAAACTACAGAAGCACAGACAGGTGGTGCTTATTATCCTTTTTTTTGCATAGTGCTTGAAAAATACAAACCAAACCTCATTATTTGTTTAGTATATCTGCTGTTATTGGCAGGCTTTTTGTGTATGCATATGCAGAATGGCAGACAGTTCTTTGCAAAATGATATGCAAAACACATTTTGGCAGTTTTGTTATCCATGGTTGTTTGGCTACAAAAAAATCCTCATAAATAACAAGGGCTGCCTGTGACACACATACTTTAAAGCAGTGTTTCTCAACCTTGACAATTTTAAGGCATGTGGACTTCAACTCCCAGAATTCCACAGCCAGCAATGCTGGCTGTGGAATTCTGGGAGTTGAAGTCCACATGTCTTAAAATTGTCAAGGTTGAGAAACACTGCTTTAAAGGATTCAGTATGATGGAGCCACAGATTGCTACCAATATACCATCCCGCTTGCGTCGGTGCTTGCGAAAGAATTGAAGGAATTGTGACACACAGCTGCAAAGTAGATTTATAGGATTAATTTGGCTTCCATTTCTATAAAGCCAAATGGCTCTTCTATTTGGAAATAAGGAATTGCTTCTTTAAAAACTTTAA